ACACAAGTTTAGAAACATATTTTTCCTTAATTAATTTTTAGTTTTTATAGTTTTAGAATAAAAGAATTATGCATACTTTTTGTAATTTCATTTATTTTTATAAATTTATTCTCCTTGTTTAAATGCTTTTTTTTTAATTGGGTTTATTTTAATGCATATTTAGTTTTTATTGTTTTAGGATGATGTTTGTATATGTTTCTTTTCTTTTTACAATCAAACTTTTTTTAAATGCTCTGATTTTTTTTGATTTAAAAGGAGTATATATTTTTTATTCTAACTAATTTTTAGGAATTAATTTATTTATTTTTCTTTTAATTGTTAGATAAAATTTTTTAAGAGAAAACCATTTTTAGTTTCATTAGCCTTTAAAAAACTTACTTCATATTTTAAATGGTTTTTTCCTCTGTTCGTAAATTTTTAGAATTTATTCTTTTAAAAAGAAACATAGTTTTTTAATATCATTTGATGATTAGAAACATATTTTATACATTTTTTCTTTTGTTTAATTGACTGTTATTTATTTATTTATTTTTTAAATTTAGTTTTCTTGTAATGTTTAGTTTTTATTGTTTCGGAAGGAATTAGTTTCATTTTTAGAAAACGTATTGCTAGAAGACAAACAGATAACTCTAAGACCTCCCCTTAACAGATTTTTGAATTAGTCTTTCGAAAGACATAAAATAGCTTTTAAGATAGTTGCCAGAATTCACAATTGTCTTACGAAATATTTGCGTATTTCGAAAGACTGTGGTGAGCAGGGTTGCCACTGACGAAAAAAAATACTTACTATCCACTTGAAAAAATCTACCAAATCTGGAAAATATATACCAATAACTTTTTTTAGTTATTGTAGTAAAAACTATAGTTTTGTTATGTTTTCCGTTATTTTAATATGAATTCAAATTGTGTTTAAGGAACTTTTTATTTAACTAATTATACGGTATTTGAGATCATATTAATGGCAATTCTCAGCTTCCTTCAACCAAAAGCGAAGGTGATGAAACTAAAGGCAACAACGAACCTTCATTATTTGAAAAAACTTCAGCTGGAGTTATTATAGATAAATACAGTGACTCAAAAATTGGTAATTTTTATTTAATATTCACCATTTTTTCAAGCAAAAATTTTTTGGTTTTATTTTTTTATAAGAATATTGTTTGCACTTTAACCAAACACTTAAGAATCTAGAATTCAAGCTAAATAGAACATTTAGGAAAATTCCAAAAAATTGTTGTCTAAATTTCGACTATTTTACTCTTAATTTTTTGAACGATTTAGGGTACGGAATTTTATAGCCCATAATATTTTAGAATAACAAACAATGTGCAGCTAAAAATTTCTGTTGGAATTTTTTAATTTTTTTTGCCGCCAATATTTTGTGTTTTTTTCACTTAACATTTGCGATTGATAAAAAATGGAGTGGATTTATTTTTTTTTTGCGAACAATTTAAGTCCGTAATTACAAACCTGTCAATTTTTTATTTTCATTTACATATGTAATCATTTAAAATATTTAGGCAATCCTCTTCCTTTAGGCTTCTGGGAATTCCAGTAAGAAGAGTTTTGAATGGAGCACGATAAGTTCGCCTTTTATCGATATACATTTATACGTATGAATATAAAAAGAGTGCTTTAAAGCGTTCGAAAATTAATGCAAAAAAGTAAACTGCATTTTTTTTAAAGAAATTTGTAATAAAAAGATAACTACGAAAAATAAAACGGGAACGAAAAGTTTTATTTGTTTTTCAAATAAAATAATTTGATAAAAATCTACCAAAATGAGACAAAAGTTAGTTTTACCAACCCAAATTTGTTCTACCAATTTTGGTAACAATTTACTAAAGTGGCAACCCTGGTAGTGAGTTTAAAGACAGCTGCCATAATGACCCGGTTAATCTATCTTAACCATTGCCGAAGAAATTAAAAACGCTAAATTACTAAGAAGGAGCTCTAAAAGTTTACAATTTTGTTTGTGAAACTTTAATTTTAAGTCGACAAAGGTCAGCATCCTCCTACACCAATTAAACTGTATACAAACATATAAGCAAAGAAAGAATATAGAGGGAGCATATATCGAACATCTAAGGTTTTGGGACACCGTTATGACATCGCTCCGTGAAATCAGAATTGTTTTTTTTTTCTTCTTTTTCTTGAGTTACCTCAAACCATATTAGGTTGTATCTTCTTGCAAACATATGTATGTATAATCTACTTTATTTTTAACATATTTAAATGCATACATACATACATAGATCCACATAAGGTTCTACTGTGGGATAACGATGTGATACTTATGCCACTCGCATTTGAAGAGAATGAAAGTGAGATTGATAGCGAAAGTGTGGGAACCACGAAAGTAACCACGTCAATGAACTTACGTAAAGATTTTGCTGAAGTCTGGATATTCAGCGGCAAAGATATGTAAATAACTTTGTTATACCTACACATACACATACTATACGTAGAACTGTAAATCTTTAATATTTTACGTATTGCATGTACGGGGGTGTGGTGCTCAAGTAGTAAATATATTTGGTTTGTAACGCTCAAAACTTGGTATAAGTATGTAACACTGTTTTGAAAATAATTTAATAGTAAATTTTATTGTATTGTAGCTTAAATATGTGCTGTTTTATTAATGAATTTTATCCAGAGTCTATGTATTTCCTTAAAAAATTGCCGTATTTTTTTTTTAAATATAATTTCGCTGCACATCAAACTGAAAAAGGTACATACAAAACACATATGTATTAAGGATGTCCTCAAAATATCAGCATCATAATTTTGTATGAGACATGCCTTTCCTTTGTCCCAAGAAAATTTTGAAATTCTAAAATGGTTTTCAATGTTGGCTACTAGGGTTTGCAAAAATAATTTTTTTTAGTCGCGAAAGTTCGAAATTTTTTTTACTTTGAAGAGCTACAACTCAGTTTTGGGCCGTTCACAACATTTGGTATACCGTTTGACGCATAGCTTAATTGTCTCTCAAATGAATAACTCATTGTAATAAGAGGCCTTATCTGTTTAGCAAAAAAAAAAATTACTAAAATCCAACACCGATCACACAAAAATTCCATTACCTCAAAACCTGCTCATAGAAAAAATTTAAGAAATGGTATTTGAGCTAAGGCAGTCCACAACGATGCCTCCCCATACATACAAGTGTTTCCTGGTTTTTATTTAAGATATTTATTTGTAAATCAGTGTTATTTAGAACTTAGGAAAAATTTGAGAAATGCTATACTTATTCGGAAAAAAACTTAAACAGATGACCGTCTGTGAAGCCTATTGAATGAATTTAAATGAATAATTTTCAATAAAATGCCGAATTTATCAGGCTTTAAATTTGTCAAACCTTGGTAAGTAAGGACCCCTAAAAATTGTTTTAAAATTTTCGTGGAAGTTCTTATTTTGGAGCCGAGTTTTACTCACTTGGAAAATTAGCAATAAACTTATCTGTATTTTTTTTTAACTAAATTAAGACGAAGAGAATGCATAGAAGCTTTAGTTCTAGTTACACAACGGTTTTTAATTAGTGTCTTCACAATGTTAGGTTGGGTTAGAATAGTTCCGAGTTACCAATACCTTTCGATGTTAAAAATACAAAATTTTCAACTAAACTTTTTTCGCTTTAGATTCGCGGTCAGTTCTGGTTAGGCTTTGGCGTCGTACAGTGGTGTGGAATTGGAATTTACTGATCAGAATCATCTAGAGCGTTGATTTTTCAATCAATTTGATTCATTGAAACTTATAAAATTTACGGTCCGTCTTTTAAATATTTATTTATTTATTATAAATTTTTTGGTCCAAAGTACAATAGAAGTAAATTTTTTTAAATTTTAGAATAATAAAATGCAAGATTAAAGTTCAAGAAAAAAATGTCGCAACAAAATTTTTAATTAAAAAAAAAAATTACCAAAATTTAAAATAATATTTCGGTTTTTTGGATTTTTAGAAGAAAATTAGGTAGGACTATGCGAGGGATTTTCTTCCATATTAATTGTACTCGAAATGTTTTTATATGGAATGCCTAGGTCTGTCAGCTAAAACCCACTTACCTACTTACCTAAAACTTTTCCAAAAATTCAAAATATTATTTTTTTGTATTTTTTTTTTTTTTTGTTTAATAGACCTATATTCAGAAACTTTTCTTGTGGATTTTTATAAATTTGAAATTTGAAATTGGTTTCAAAACTGCAAAATTGCTACATTCTCTGCACTTTGTATACAAAATTTTATATAAACAAATGAAAATTCAAAAACCGGACTCAACGAGTCCCTTGTAAATTTTATAGGCCTTCATTAAAATAATTAGTTTTTTTGCTTAAAAAAAATAGTTGATACAATTTTTTGAGAAATGAGTTTCTCTATGAATTCAGTTTCTAACCACTGTGCACCGTTTAAAATAACTTTTAATATCTATTTGAATCCAACTTTATAAGATTCGTAGTATTTTCAGACCGTCTGAATTCGGTTTTTTGTGGACGGAAGAGGGAAGGGGGTAGAATTTTATCTTACCAATTTCAGACCTTGGAAAGCTTTAAAAAGCTTCTCTCGCTGATTATGACTGCTATGGAGTGAAAATACATATGATATACCAGGTGCGTTATCTGTTCCAAAGTTCCATAAGATAGCATTGTCCTTGTGTCTCAGACGTATACATGTATGTGTATACCAAATTTAAGATTTTTTCGGGATGTAATTAGCGGTTTTTTTGCAATGCTTTTGGTCAACACACTTCAAAAACATACAAAAGTCACCTTCCCATAAGTTGTTTTCAGGAGCTCATGGTCGCCAGTTTTTTTAGTTTTCATGTGCGTTAAATTTATAAAATATTCAATAAGTTTACTGAGTTTTGTAGAAACATTTTTGTTGAAAATATGAGCACCGTGAAAATATCTACATACATATTGGTACACGAGTGATATGTATGTACATATGTATGTAGATTCTAAAGAGAAATATCACTCGCTTATTTCGTATTTATTTCAACTCAATAGAGGCTCAGCTTACATATTGGACCATCTCTCCGATACCAGAAGAAGAGCTTATTTTCCATGATATTGATATTATTGCCGCAGAAGCTGCAGAAGCCGCTTTTAGAGAAAATGCCATAGATGATATAGCATATTTTGCGGCGCATTTACATGAGCGACGTGTACACCCCCCGATACGTACGTACAAAGAGCACACATGGATGTGTTCAGATGTTGAAATGCCACTTGATGCTAAGTAATTGTAAACCACATAAATGCCACTTAACGCTTAACGAACGATGCTACAACATTTCTACTCCTTTAACTGCTTCTATTACACGCGTTTTCCACCCATTGTGTCATCGAATAAAAAATACTGAAAAGTTTTTCATTTGCTAAATATTCACGATCGAAATTAAAATTATTTTGCTCTCTCTATCTCTCTCTCTCTCTCTTTGGACTCCATAACTTGCAGCTTTGCGCCATCATTATCATATCAGGCATTATCCTATTCAGAAGTATCCATTCGGAAATGATATTTTTCTTCGATCGAGAATAAGCTTACAAGTACGCTACCACCAGAGTCCTTTACCATTTCGTAGACATTATAAAAAAGCCGAAATCGAAACCAAAAATTGGGTAGTAAGACCACCAACACCAGTAATCGCAGTACGCAAAACGTTTTTGGAAAACTGGATATTTGAAACTCTTGAGTAAAGAAATTTTTTTAAATACTTTTTTATTTAAAATGTATTGTGCGCAGGAATGCATTGTGTGCATACTTCATTTGGATATTTCATTTCATAATTATCAGCCAAATTTAAAGCATAAAAAAATTAGGAATTGATTTTGTGATAAATTTAGAGTAAGCAGTTATACATTAAGTAAATACTTTTTACAAATGCATGCTATATTTACCTGAATGAATCATTCTTATAGGTATTAAGGAATGATACCCGCAATCATAGTCAGACCATTTACACTTCCCCTCATGCATTCCAATATATTTTTCAAATAGGGCATAGACAAACGCGACCTACAGCAGCGGGTTCCAGTGGTGGCCATGTGCCAATTAGTGGCGCTTCCGGTAATCGCAGAGAAACTTCTACAAGCACATGGATGATGACAACCAGCTGCACCACTGCTGGGCCGCTGGAAGGTGTTGCTGCTTTGGCATTGAAAGCGCGTAAAAATTTTATTGAAAATTGGATTTTTGAAAACATGGGCTGCTTGATGGCGTATGATTTGGCTAAAAATTTTTGTATACTAAATAAGATTTTGAGCGTTTTGTGAAGCTTCATTTTCGTGAATAATATTTTTGTCTAATATTTATTGTGAATGCCTGCTCTTTGTATTTTTATGCATCAATGATTGCCAGCTTTTGTGGTTAACAATTTTAATACCTAAGTTTTTATTGGGTATATTTATGGCAATTTTATTTTTTATACCAGTTTTATATCAGCTTTGTTTAATAGGTTTTAAACCAGTTTTTATATTTAATGTAGTGCAAATGATTGTAAGAGTTTTATTCAGAACGATGATTTGAACATAACAGTTCGTTTTTCCGGGAATATATCAAGAACCAAATTAGTTCAGAAAACGAGTGTATCCCAGGAGTCCCGGCTGCTATTGAGCTGTCTCTCTTAGATGAAGAGCTACCTCATTAGCTCAGCTAATTCAGATCATACATATCCGTCATCATGCATAGCTCGTCTAACAATCGACGTATGAATTCAGCATAAGAAATTAGATTCGTTCGTAAGCCTTGAGGCGAATTCATTTAGCCCCGGTGGAGTTAGTGGTGGTGCTTTACACCTTCTTCTTATATTACGGAGATAACAATATCAAGTCGAAATTAATTGGGGTAGAACTTAGTAGACTAAGGAGACATTCTCGAGATTTACAGTACTCAATTTTCTTTGCAATCATGTACCACACCTTTAAATCTAGTAATAAATAAAAGAGTTATGAAAAAAACTTGATTTTAGCAGTTTTTATGATCCGCCAAAAACGTAAATTTGTATATCTTGAAAACCCCTTTAAAGTCAGCTATCAAACTAAGGAAGTAATTGCAAAGTTCTTCCTATAGTATTAGGACCGACCCGGTCTGTCTGACAGTTTTGGAATTACCCACAAAACTACTACAATAGCCAGGGAGCTAGTAGACTCTCGATGCTATGTGCGCTAAAAGTGCTTGGTGTCTACGTGTGTATTTTGCCTGGCACTGCTCAAAAAGTAGAACGTTTTGCTTCTTTGAAAGACTCCATGCTTATTGCTCCAGCTTGACGAAACTTCACGTAGATTGATATGCCTTTTTATGCCAGTTTTATATTAGTATTATACTATATACTAGTGTTCATACGGCTAGTATACCAGTTATATACATATATCTTATACATAGAATTTTTTTCTAGGTATTTAAATACATTTCTAATAAATTTTTATTTTAGCTTATGCAAGTAATTCAAAAGGAAATGAGTTAAGAATTTTGTAAACCAGTTTTATATAGGTTTTTTGACATAAATCAGCCATTTTATTAACTCTTTTCAGGTTAGTTTTTATACCAGTTTATTACGAGGTTTTATACCACTTTATTACTCGATTTTGTGCTAGTGTTTTACTCCGGTTTTATACCAGTTTATTACTTAATTTTATACCAGTTTATTTGATTTTGTGCCGCTTTATTACTTTACTTTATACCGGTTTATTAATAAATCTTATACAAGTTTAGTACTTAGTTTTACACTTGTTGTTTAGGCGTGACTGCTTACACCGGGCGCCTAAATGCCATTATGCAATTTATGAAATTTTTGCACGTGCACTTCTCAACTGTAATATGTAATAAAACTTTCTAAAGTTTTATTTCGATACTGTTCCGGAGTTTTTTGCGGACTCTGCATGACTTACAATAGAGATGGTAAATGGACTGGATAACTGCTCTTGAAGACTATATTTATTACAGTTTTATGTGAGGTTTTGTCCATATTACCCCTATTTTGGCTCATTTTTGAATTGCTATTAGAAAAATCACCATTTGCAGTTAATTTAAATATCGCGGATTTTATACATTTATTTTCTTAAATATTTTATTATAATCTATTTATGTATGTTCGTTTGAGTTCCCCTTTTTACTGTATTTGTCCATGCCTACCTCGTGCCTAATTCTCTGAAACTTATGCATTTTTCTAGAAATCTTCTATCATATCAGGCCTTTAGCTCTCGGTCGGCCTGTCCCTGCAATGGCAGCATTTGATGGTTTTATTCCTACAACTTCACCACCAGTGTTTTATGCAACTACCTCAGCAAGCCCAATTGACGCAAATATAAATGCAAAGATTCGTCAAGAATTTGCTGAGTCATGGATTTTCGATAACAACGACATGTAAATAATGAAATTTGTTAAGACTTTATATAGCGATCGAGGTTTTTACGTAAGCAAGAGTAAAGTGCAATACGTCATTTCAACTCCGTGGGGCTATTCTCAAATGGGTTAGCGACAATATTCGTATCGCTATTTGGGAATAACCCGACTGTTGAGATCAATAAAAAATTTTCTCACATTTTATAATTCATTACCTGTTATTTGGGGCATAATTCATTTCTGCGCTGTGAGCCAGTAGACGTCCTTCACGTTTTTTTTTTCTTGCCTTGGAAAGTAAATTTTCTTTCAACTTTACGCTTTAAATTTTTTAATCTGTTTCTTGCAGAAACATGCATTGCTTATTTCGTGACTAAACTCACTCTAACGGCCTTATTCTTGCGTGATGACAGATCTCGCCGAAATTACTACTGTCATACGGTCTTCTAAAAGTATTCCGAAAAAATACCCGGAAGCTCATAAGAGGTGCATACAAAAATTAGAAATGTGCTTTTCAATGAAGTTTTTGTAGCATATTTTTTGGCACCCCAGCTATGACAGTAGTCATTCCGGCGAGATATGACTTTGCGTGTGAATAGAGCGTAAATTAATTTGCACAAATACACAAAAAAGGGGAAATGGTGTCAAACCATATAAAAAAGCCTAAAACTATTCTATTTACTCTAAGAAACATAAAAATAATAGCAACATAATAGGGTATTGTTTTTAAAGACTTTCGATTAGGTTCACAGAATCAATCTGAACAAGGTGCCTTGGTTACTGGGCTACATATAATTTAACTCTCTTTAGGATCCGAAGCAAATCAATTCTTTTATCAGCCGCTATTTGTAAAGTTTACAGGGGTGCAGAAGACCATTTCGAACCTTTTTTTTTGGTCAATATCAACAAAAAAAAAATTATTAAAGAATTAATAAAAATTAAATTATTTGTTAAGTGTTTTTTTTTTGTTGTGCGGTATGCGCTACGTGTCTCTAAACGCTACTGTACGACGGTCAAGAATTATTTTAAGAATATTTTGAAATATAAAATAAAAGTTGTATCGAGTTCAAAAATTCATCAGCCGACAAAACTCGATAAGAAGCTTGGTGGCGGTTTTTATAAAGGAAAGGAAGATTCACTTCCGATTTTCGAAAACCATATACCTACATACACACATAAGTAGGGTGATAATGATCTCAATATTTATGATGATATAGAAGTTATTATGCCGCAATAATAAAAAAGAAAAATATTCAAAACTCTTAAATTTGTATTTGAAATTTCCAAATTTGATAATTTTTTTTTTGTATAATCCTTTCTGGTCTGCTTGTCATCCAAAATCGCTGTGCCACTTTTACACATACAAACACACATACATACTTGCATGAAGTTAATCTGCACGCATACATTCATGAGGTTCAGAAGAAAGGACACAATTCATTTTTATCCGACATGATTGGCGGTCCGATTAGGAAGCACGTACAGGATTCGTTAAGCGCTGAATCGTCTTACATGGGAAATCAGGTTGTCGAGCTGCGTAGAAATTTTCTTGAAGCCTGGATTCTAAGCAACCATGAACTGTCAAAGTAAAAAAAGTCTCAGTAATAATTTTTTTTTTTCGAAAATATTTGCTATTAAAACGAATGCGCCAGAAGTAGTGTGGCGTTTAAATGATTAAAAGCTTTGTACGTAGTCAGCTTTAGTATTTTTTTAGTAAAATTAATGTTTATTTTTTTTTTGTAAATATTTCACAGTTATTGTATATACCGAATGCTCCTTTTGCACGTTTTGCTTGCTAGTAGCTTTTATTCTAAAGAAATGGAGCTTTCACAAAAAGTTGTGTGCTTTCACTATTAAAAAAAAAACTGCACATATGTATTTACTCAATCCTCACATACTAACCCTGCACTCCACTAATTTGCATGTTTCCTCTAATGTATTGAATTATGACGAAACTAAATAACAAATTTTGCTTGTCGCTTTCTATTTGCCGCACTTTGTGTTTTCGCTTTTTTTGTGCCTTCATCTAAAATTTAACTTTTAACTGGAATTAATATTTCGATTTATTTTTCCTCCTTTCAATCTCTCTTGAACTCCTTCACATCCTTCAGCACTGATGGCGAAAGTTTCTCACTGACCAAGAAGATACCTGATACGATTACCTCTTGGGTTGTTACTGGCTTTTCCTTGAATCCCAAGAGTGGTTTTGCGCTGACGGCAGATCCAACGAAAATACAAGTTTTCCAACCATTTTTCGTTTCAACCAATTTGCCATATTCGGTAAAGCGCGGTAAGTAATAAGAGCGCCAGTTAGTTCAAATCTCTTACAACTTTAAAATTTTTAACCTCTCCTCCTCCTGCCCCCTAAGGTGAGGTCATTGCCATACCTGTCATCATTTTCAACTACATGGAAAAGGCTTTGGACGCAGAGGTAGTCATGGACAATACAGACAAAGAGTACGATTTCGTCGAGGCTACCAATGAGATTGAGGATAATCCCTTGGATGTGATAAAACGCACTAAACGTGTGTCGATTCCATCCAATACTGGCAAGAGCGTCTCCTTTATGATACGTCCGAAGAAAGTTGGTCAGGTTACCTTGAAAATAACAGCCACTACACCGCTAGCAGGCGATGCTATTCACCAAACGCTCAAAGTTGAACCCGAAGGCGTGACGCAGTACGAGAATCGTGCCGTTTTCATTAATCTGAAAGATAAACCAGAACATAGCGAAAAATTGAGTATTGATGTGCCCGCCAAAGCTGTACCCGATTCCGAGTACATTGAATTCTCAGTGGTGGGTGATTTGTTGGGTCCAACTGTTAAAAATCTTGATAAATTGGTGCGCATGCCCTATGGCTGTGGCGAACAAAATATGGTGAATTTCGTACCGAACATATTAGTTTTGCGTTACCTGGAAGCTATCGCACAGAATATGCCGGCGATTAAGGAAAAGGCGAAGAAATTCCTCGATATTGGTTATCAACGCGAATTAACTTATAAACATGATGATGGGTCATACAGTGCCTTCGGTAAATCTGACAAATCCGGCAGCACTTGGCTGACCGCATATGTGGTACGTTCATTCCATCAGGCTGCTAAGTACACTGACATTGATCCCAAAATTATTGTTGCGGGATTGGACTTTTTGGCATCGAAGCAGGCGCCAAATGGCAGTTTCCCAGAATATGGTAAACTATTTGACTCCGCGCATCAGAATGAGTTGGGATTGACGGCATTCGTGCTGTTGGCGTTTCTGGAAAATGAGGTAAGTCGCAAGGTTTCTCAAATCGGTTTTTTTTTTACTGATTATTGTATGTAGAAATGAACATTTCTGGACTAGCTCAGTGCTATTTCAGGTCCATTGCTTGTTATTTTTGGCACCCTTCCGGGCTTAGTTCTGGCTCATTTCGGGACCTGTTGAGGATGGAACTAATTCGTGATCATTTCCTGACGCTTTCGGGACCTATGTAGGGCCTTTTCACGACCATTTCAAGACCATTTTTGGACTATTCAAGACAAGTTCAGAACTTTCTTAGGAACATTTCGGGAATAGTTCGGTATAATTATGGGATTAGCTCAGAACCATTTGGGGATCGTTCAAGACTACTTGAGCATCATCTTGGGACTAAATAGTGATCATTTTGGGACTAATAGCGACCATTTCGGGCCCATTTCAAGACATCTTCGAGATTATATCGGGACAAGTTCACGACTTTTCGGACCGTTTCGGGGCTGGTTCAGAAATATTTCAACACCATTTCCGTACTTGTTTTGGATTATTTCGTGACCGTTTCGGAATTAACTCAGGGCAATTTTGGAGCTATTGTAGAGCTAGTTCACGACTATTTGCGGAATAGTTCTGAACTGGCTCAAGACTATTTTGGAACTAAGTGAGATTCATTTCGGGACTACTTTAGGCCCATTGGACATATTGAGGAGCATTTTTAGACTAGTTCGGAACCATTTCGGGATTGGTTCACGACTATCTGAATACCATTTTAGGACTATTTGTTGACTAGTTCAGGAAAATTTCAGGGCCGGTACAGGACTATTTCGGGACCATTTTGCGCCTAGTTCGGGATTTTTTGGACTACTAAGGTACCATTTCGGGACGGTTTCAAGGCTTGTTCGATATAATTTCAGGACAAGTGGATGACTTTTCCACAACAACTTCATTACTACTTCAGGACAATTTTGAGACAAGTACGGGTTTATTTCAGGGTAATTCGAAAATAGACACGAAATGATCCTGAAATAACCTGATCTGATCCCGAATTGGTTGTGAAAAGTAGTGTACTGATCCCGACAAAATATGAATAAAATAAAATGAAATTTTAATGAATTAGTTGAAGAGGAGGCCATATTGTTAACATGTATGCGACCTATACTGCTCTAAATATGAGTGTTGGCTCACTGAAATCCACTGGAGCACTGACTAACTGAAAAACTGGATGCGTAGTTCTAATCATAGTATAGCTGTGAGGTCCCTTAAATTAGATTATAATACGGGTACTACTGTCACACTTATTAAATCTTAAAGTCAAAGTCACAGATCACAAGTGGAAATAACTGAAACGATAAGCGGGGACCGTGCTTTATACAGCTTCTGTGTAGAAGATTATCATAGATTTTCAATACAGTATTTTTATGTACCGTTGAGTTTCTATCAAACCTAACCTAAAACATATTTTCTTTTAACTTATTTCTTAGGAATACATACCTAAGTATCAGGCAGCCATCGAAAATGGCCTTAAATACCTATTGGAGAACGTAGATCAGACGGATGACCAGTATGCACTCTCTATTGCCGCGCTGGCTCTACAAATTGCCAAGAACCCTAAGGCTGACAAAGCTCTGACCAACCTACAAAGCCTTGCCAAACAAGAGAACGATCGTAAATGGTGGTCAAAAGCCGAAGCGCCTAAAAAAGAAGAAGAACCAATTTGGAGTTGGCATCCACACAGCAATGATGTCGAGATCACTTCCTATGTGCTGCTCGCTTTGCTGGACAAGGAAGGTGCCGTGAATGCTTTGCCCATTATCAAATGGTTAATATCTAAGCGCAACAGCAATGGTGGTTTTGCTTCAACACAAGACACGGTTGTCGGGTTGCAGGCGCTCATAAGCTTCGCCGAGAAGACCGGCTCTGGTAGTGGTGAAATGGATATCGATTTTGTTTCAAGCGGCGGCGAAGAGAATAAAGGCAATATTAAAGTGAACGCGGAAAATTCGTTGGTGTTGCAAACACATGTGGTAAGTTAATGGAAAGTAATCGTATTTTGCCTGGTTTATACTTGCTGCTTTTCGGCTAATTAGCGCCAGCATCAATATAGAACAAACGCTCAAAACTTGATAGAACATTTTTTATTTTTTGTTAAAATCCTCAGCTCCCCAAGACCACACGGCAAGTCGATTTCACCGCCAAGGGCAAAGGTTCATCTATGGTACAACTATCTTATCGTTACAATTTAGCTGACAAAGACAAGAAACCTAGTTTTCAAGTAAAAACAAATGTTAAAGATGATAAAGCATTATTAGTTGTCGAAGTTTGTGCCGAGTACGTGCCCGACAGCGCTGACGGTGAGCAGAAAGAGTCCAATATGGCCGTTATGGAGGTTAGCTTACCATCCGGTTACACTGCGGATTCCGAAGGCTTCGAAAGCATCGAATCGGTGGATCGTGTCAAACGCGTCGAAACGAAGAATTCCGATTCAACGGTAATTGTGTACTTTGATGGTTTAGCGCCACACGATGCCAAGTGTGTGCCTGTCAAGGCTACCAGAACACATGCGGTGGCAAAGCAAAAGCCTGCAGCTGTCAAAGTGTATGACTACTATGATATGAATCGTCATGCAACCGAATACTATCAAGTGCAGTCGTCGCTTTGTGATATTTGTGAGGGCGCTGATTGTGGTACGAAGTGCCAAGAAGCGAATGGGCTTCAACGTGCGCAATAAATTTATTGTATAAATAAAAAAATGTCAATTTTTTTTTTGTAATTCATATTATGAAATGTGTGCCAAATTTTTTGGAAATTTGTATAAATGCGTAAATTTGTACTAAAGTTACTGAAAACAAATTTTTGTAAACCATTATAAAAAGTGTGTGAAATAAAGAGAAATGAAGATACAATGAATGTGGTTTAAATATGCAGGGCTGAGTTTAACAGCAAACACATTTTGCACCATGGAAGGGCAACATTTTTTGTAAGCAACGAAAACACAATTAAATTCATCCGAAAGTTAAGAGAAGCTAGGGAGTAAATGTACTCAAATTGTGGCGACATTAAGCCTAGAGTCCGCGCACGTCTTCTACGGACGGCCTCACTCACAACGAGCATACATATGTACATATGTACGTCGAATCGCAAAACTGAAAAAGATTATTAAAATATATATACCAAGCTTATTCAGATGCCCTCTACGAGGGAAATTCTTGCAACTGTCACAATGGCGAAAGGCTTCGTGAGACAATTGTCATTTCTGTCAACTATCTTGAAAGCTCTTTTCTATCCATGGAAAGACTAATAGAAAGATCTGCTAACGAGGAGGTTTAGCGTTATTCTGTTTTGTCTTTCTAAAAATTAAATTAAACAAAAAAAATGGGTTTTTTTTTATTAAATGGCCGTCTGCAGATCTCATGAAAAATCACAAGAAATATTTTTCATTATTTCTTTTGCTAGAAAAACTTTGCTGTTGTTTTCAATTTTCTTATAGAAATAAACATTCCAGCATTTTTTTCTTGAGAGCAGCTTAATGTTTTAAGAAATTTGTATAGAAAGAAAATTCTTTTTCATTTCTATTGCGTCATTTTTCTTGAGAGCTGCAAACAGGCCTTAAAACATTAAAAACTAAAATTAAACAAGTAAGAAAGTCAAAGTTCGGGCGGAGCTGAACATTAAATACGCGGCGCAAGTATTAAATATATGTTTTTCACCTTTCCGAAAACTACCGCTACATGGTAAGACGGGGGCTTTGTGTCGTCCCACTCCGGTGGCGTTCAACGCAGACATTCCTATTTTGTCCACGGAAGAGTTTAGGTTCAGTTCTTCTTATACCAATCTCTGAAATAAGTTCAAAAAAACAGGATTACAAATTTGATTATTGCGATTCCGATAAAAATGTATTAAAATTTTTTACAAATATTTTTATGTAAATTTTTTAAGCTTAAACCATTTTGTCATTCGACGGGTTTTTTTTTCAAAAAACGTCTTTAAGAAACTATTTTTATTAATAAAAAAAAACCTCTTTTGGAGGTATTTTCAAATCGGTCCAGCTCGCTTAAATCTTAATATTTTTCCGAAATATTTTGGTGGAGATCCTAAAATATAATTGATTTTATAATTCCAATGGAAAAGCAGTACCGATTTTTTTTTTTTGGTATAGGGAGGGATGCAGTCTAATATACCTTACATGTGATAGATAAGGCAGTCGACGTAAATATGTATTTTACTGGAGCTTTTACTTCTAGTTAGCGGCCGCTTTGGTTTAGTGGTTTGCAGTGAGCGCTACCACTACGTAGAGCCTGGGTTTAAGCCCTGCTCAACAACAGCGCAAAACATATAGAAAAAAGGTTTTTTATTAACAGCGATCTCCCCTCGACAGGCAATGGTAAACCTCCGAGTATATTTCTGCCATGAAAAACAGCTTCTCATAAATATATGATCGCCGTCAGCGTAAAACTGTAGGTCCCTTCCCATTGTGTGACAACATTAAGGCGCACGCCACAAATCGGAACATAAGCTCGGCCAAACACTAACATATGTGTAAACGCCAATCTATTATGTATTACTATTTTCCTTCTGATTAGTCTTAACCAGAAGACATGGNTATTATTATGTATTACTATTTTCCTTCTGATTAGTCTTAACCAGAAGACATGGTGAAAACGGCCATGCGCAACAAATAAAAAGCCATCAATTACTCGGCAAAACCTGCAGTTCTAGCTTTTACTTTCTTGTCTCCCTTACCCGGCTACTATATTTTCTACTAGCCGATATGCTCCACATTTGATGTTTTAAACTACTTAAGCTAATTGTTTTATAACAAATTTGATTGGCTTATCAGACGCTAATCGAATATCACAAAACGTAAAAAGTGCACGTACGTAAGGCCAGTATACATACATATATAAATGGCGATTACTCCAGTTGAAATTAGTTAGCTTTCAACGGTCATCGGGACAAAATGAAGAGCCTCATATTGGTCATAGCCAGCTTGGTCATTTTTCTAGCCTTAGGAAGTGCGTCTAAAGTTCGATACCATAATTTTAAAGTTTTCAAAATTAGAACAAAAAATGTAGAGCAACAACAAATNAAAAAAGTGCACGTACGTAAGGCCAGTATACATACATATATAAATGGCGATTACTCCAGTTGAAATTAGTTAGCTTTCAACGGTCATTGGGACAAAATGAAGAGCCTCATATTGGTCATAGCCAGCTTGGTCATTTTTCTAGCCTTGGGAAGTGCGTCTAAAGTCCGATACGACAATTTTAAAGTTTTCAAAATTAGAACAAAAAATGTAGAGCAACAACAAATGATCGAGAAATTAGCTGCCAACTCGGAGAATGTAAGCACAAAACCTAATAAAAAAAGTAGAAATCAACTAAGTTTTTAAAGACTACAAATAAATGCGAGTATAAAAAACATAATTCTTGAAAATAAAAATTTCAGTTCAATTTATGGCACAGCGGCAATAAAGANGCAACATACAGAATTTTAAAAACTCCTACAAATAAATGCGATTATAAAAAACATAAATCTTGAAAATAAAAATTTCAGTTCAATTTATGGCACAGCGGCAATAAAGAGGTGCATATTATGGTCAGTCCACAAAAAGTTATACACCTGCAGAACTATACGCGCGCCTATAGCCTGCCTTTGGAGGTAATGGTCTCCAATGTGNTGATCGAGAAATTAGCTGCCAACTCGGAGAATGTAAGCACAAAACCTAATAAAAAAAGTAGAAATCAACTAAGTTTTTAAAGACTACAAATAAATGCGAGTATAAAAAACATAATTCTTGAAAATAAAAATTTCAGTTCAATTTATGGCACAGCGGCAATAAAGAGGTGCATATTATGGTCAGTCCACAAAAAGTTATACACCTGCAGAACTATACGCGCGCCTATAGCCTGCCTTTGGAGGTAATGGTCTCCAATGTGCAAAGGTAAGTAATTGAAAGAATTTCACCACAAAAACAAAGCATGAGGGAAGTAGAGGCTAATCTACTTAGTACTCTACAGCCTTATCGATGGTGAGCAATTGTCAAAATCTACAGACGATAGTACCTTCGGTTGGACACGCTATTATCCCTTATCAGCTATTGAAGCATTCTTAGACGAAATATTAGCGAAATACCCGGCAGTTACAAGTGCCATTGATATCGGCACTTCCTATGAAGGACGTAAGATACGCGGCATTAAGATCTCGTACAAGGAGGGTAATCCTGGTATCTTCATCGAATCCAATATACACGCACGCGAATGGATCACTTCAGCAACGGCCACTTGGTTAATCAATGAGTTTCTCACTTCCACCGACGAGGATGTGCGTAGCTTGGCTGAGAACCATGATTGGTACATTGTGCCAGTTTTGAATGTAGATGGTTTTGTCTACACACATGATACGGTACAAATTACCTCTAGGTGACCATCTCAACCACATTTTTTGATCATCACTTTCTTATGTTTAGGATCGCATGTGGCGTAAAACACGCCAGCCGGTGAATTTCTCATCCTGCATTGGTGCCGATCCGAATCGTAACTTTGATTCACACTGGATGGAAAATAATGGCGCTTCCGCGGATCCGTGCGCTCAGACATATGCTGGTACAGAGCCTTTTTCGGAGCCGGAGGTTAAGGCAATCGCCGATTATATTGCAAGCATTAAGGAACGTCTGAATATTTTGATAGCGTTTCACTCGTACGGTCAACTTTTACTATCACCCTATGGCTGGACAGGAGATCTTCCAAGTAACTATGATGATTTGATGGCTGTAGCAGAGGCTTACTCAAATGCGGTCAAAGCAATGCCTTATGGCACGGAATACACTTATGGCACTTCATCGGGTGCACTGTGTAAGTGTGATACGGGAATTGTGTTATAACTATTTAAGTAGGGCATAAAAAACAGAGCTAACTAAGAACATATGTATTTGCCCTAATTTCCGTACAGATTTCGCTTCTGGTGCCACCAATGATTGGGCCTACAGTGAACAAGATATACGGCTCTCGTACACAATCGAATTTCGCGATACTGGACGTTTTGGTTTCATTCTGCCGCCTGTCCAAATAATACCGCAATGTGAAGACGCGCTTGCCGGGTTGTTGGCTTTCGTTAAGAAGGCCGATGAACTGGGTTATCTTGAAGTTAAATATACCTGATGAGTTTTAAATACACTATTTTTATACGTGGCATGAGTTGAGTTAAACTCTCTGTGACTTGCATTTTAAAATAAATATTTTCAAATAAAAATATGTAGTCTCAAAAGAAAAAATATTCGGTTATACCTCATTGCTTATGATTGCATGAGCGAGCAGCACCTACAATTTGTGTTGTTAGTCTTGAAGTGGTCAGACTTTTAGAGCTAGCTGTAAAAATGGACGGCGAATGAAAAGCGGCAGAAAGCAAAATATATTGAGAAAATTTCCTATTTTACTGAGTTTTATTCGGGATATTAATCTACGCGTCAGGCGGATCACTTGAAGTGACTAAATATCCTATGTGGATAGTCTAGCAGCAGATATGTACATCAATGAAAGGATTTTCAATGGGGTCTTCACTTGTACCCCAAACCATTACTGAATTTTTCGTTACACTCCTATCGTCAAGGATTGGGTAAAAATGAGGAGGTGTAGGNATATCAATGAAAAGATTTTCAATGGGGTCTTCACTTGTACCCCAAACTATTACTGAATTGTTCGTTACACTCCTATCGTCAAGGATTGGGTAAAAATGAGGAGGTGTAGGAAGGCGCGAATCTAGTCTACCGCAGTAACCACAGCGGAGTTGGGCTATGGTGGTACGTTTCTACCGGGGAAGAGGAAGCTCTGTCTCGTCCTCGACAGGTGGCTGGGTTCACAAAACGGCATTCACAAACGGCATTTAAATTTTTAAAAGGAAGGTATAGGAACTTCTTTAGAAATAAAATTAATATGTCTGTTAATTTTCTCCAAAATTCATAAAATTTTGTACTTGGAGCCAAAAAAGTTGTTTATAATGTGGACATCATAATCAGAAACTCCACGTTTGAAAATTTTGGCATGAACGAGCAGAACATACCGAATTTCATAAAAAAAATGTTTTTCTTTGTATCTGCGCCTATTTTTCTAGAATTAGTGGACGATAATGTAAACTGATTTTGATGTTCTTTCAGATTTACGCTTTTCTGGTTAAAACCAGCATATGCTCTGAATTTCATTAAAATCGGATAACATTTACTATTTTCGCCCACTAGAGCTGTAGGCGCTACGAATTCTACCATTTTCTACATTTCTTCATTCCTGAGTGCCAAATAGTGCACATACGAAATTGCAGCGAATTTGTAGTACGGTTAATACTTTTGGCCACAGCTTACATATATGGGCACGTCCAACTGTGCGGCGGCGCGTGAGGAATAACAACAAAACGGCGGCGGCGGTGTATACCTCTAATAAAAAAAAAATTATCTACATTTTCGGAATCATCGAGCAATTCTAAATAGGAATTGGATAGTGGCATCCATAGAACATTTTATGTTAACCACTGTTATTTATTAATTAGAATTTAATTATTCAACAGGTGGCAACTCTTTTCCAAAAAGTAAAACTAGTTTGCACATCTACAAGCCATGCGCTTTAATTTGAATTAGAAAATCGAGTGACCAATGCAGATTTTATGTCCGGGACAAAAAAATCCCTTCGCTTTTATATATGTACGAGTGAACACGCATGGCGTTAAAACGCCAACATTAAATTTAAATTTATAAACAGGTGGCAACCTTATTTAGAAAGCAAAAACAAAATATTCCAAATATTTCTGAGTGAAGGGAGCTCTCACATGGCGTCGGTATTTCATTTAATAAAATTTCAAATCACCCTGCACAGCTAAGAAAATTCTAGCTCCGAAAACTAAAATCTTATTACATATCTATTGACCCAGTGCAGATCTGGTGACCTTCACAAAGAATGCTGTTTATGGATATTACTTTTCGAATAGATGGCAAAATTATATTCAAATTATAGTTTTCCTAAAAGTTTTACGTTTGCAATAATATTTTCTATATGATTAAACTAAATATCTCTTAACACTCGTCAGTTTGACACCCATATTTTAATATTTCACATAACTTGTGTATAAGTTAACTAAATTCGACTCTTAACACAAGTGGCAACCCTGTAAAATTTTTTTAATTTGACATCTAATTTTTGAAAATCGACCGAACGGTGCGGATCTAATAGCATTAGTTATAAAAAATTTTGAATTGATTTTTTTAGCAGGTGGCAACCCTTTTTGAAAAAGTAAAACCTTATCGCACATATACAGGCCAAGCCATTTCATTTTTCATTCATTTTTGATAATCGAACGAATGGTGCAGATCTGATGACCCGGACAAAAAATCCTTTCGCGTATTATATATCTGTGGTCATAAGCAATAACCGCCTAAGTCGACTTAAGAAAGAATTGAGTTATATATGCTATCGTATTTCGGCAAATACTATTCAATGTGCATGCGAAATCCTCATCTCGCCAGCTAGGCTATTTAAAAAGTTACAGACGAACAAATTTTGGTTTCCCCATACATACAATCCAAATGTTTAAAACGGTTCTTCTCGAATTTAGGTTTTTCGACTTAGGCGGTTATTGCTTATGACCACATATGTATATATAGATATAGATTTTGAACATTCGCTAACTAGAGAATTTATTGAGAACCAAGCCTTATTGGTTTAAAAACTCGATTGCTGATAATTTTAATCAATGCCATTTTGAAAAGCACTAATGCGTACTTCCACTAACTGATTCCCAAATTCCTGCAACTGGCTTATCTGTTGCTTATCGTGGATTAAGAATTTGATAAAATCGTAGGTACTTAAACACTTCGGTTCTTACAAATGAATTTAGTTCAAATTTAGCTGTCACCGAGAGAGAATGAAAGCTTTGATTTTAATTTCGGCTATTTTAGCCATTTTTGTGGTCGTCGCAAGTGCGTCAAAAATTCGTTATGATAACTTTAAAGTATTCAAAATTCGAACACAAAATGTGGAACAGCGAAAAATGCTGGAAAAATTAGCCATCGATTCGGAAAATGTAAGTTTGAAATGTACGAAAAGAGGGATTTTCAAAAAAAATATAATAGTTTTTTATTCTACGGGGATATATCGCTCATGCTGTTAAAAAAAAA